GTTCCAGACGCTTTGCTCTTATGGAGAACAGTTGAAAGGCTTTTAATTGGTCACAACTCTTTTACCTCAAATCATTTCAGAAAAAAAACAAGTGGGAATGGACTAAAACGTGTTAATTTTCTGCTGACAGTCTTCGTAAAATCTATGAAAAATTGCTCTTACAAGGGAAGAGTACTTGGTCGAAGTGAGGTTTACACGAAACTGTATGCGGTCTATAGAGCTTGGAACGTTGATTCCAAATCTACTTTCAATATCTGCAAAGCGCTTCTAGGATGGGAATTATAGGAATCTTTTGGGGCAAAAACTCAAGGATTTGGGTTAGGTACAAACAGGTATGAAATTTTCTCGGAGTAAAGGAGAAAGGAGTAACAACATGCATAAGTTTATTGAAGGTATTACATAATTTCATAACGCCTTGGCAGCAATTATGACCCAATCTCACAGACTACACTTTCGGATGATTCTATCGCAGGCGCGCGTTCGAATTTTTGTTTGAAAAAATTCCCATAACTCCCTACACAGAAGCGTTTTGCAGATAACGAAAGCAGATTTGGAATCAGCATTTCATGCACTACAACATAGTACATTTCTCATATGGAAACTTCATTTCGATCAAGTATCCTTCCCTTGTTAGGCTAAAGAACTTATCTTACGAGAGCTCTTTGAAAAACTGAATCCGAATCGGAAAAGTAATAAAATTTTGAAAAGGATAATACTGAACAAACTCGAAATTTGAAAATTTCAAATGAATGAATCCCGAACCGAATGAAATTCAAAAATCAAAAATATTTAAATGAATGAATATCGATTATATCAAAACATTGAGTGTCGAAATTTTCGAAGAAATATTCGAATGATGTCGAATATCTAGAGCAACCATATCTAAAAATTGCTGACATATCCGACGAAAGCCGATTCATTCATGGTTAGCAACCTCACACCCCTGCATCAGCTCCCAGCTCCGTAGCTCAAGATTTTCCAAGAATCGGTAAAATCGACAAAGTAGATTTTACTCATAGTCAATGTCCTCACTTTACCCCTCTGTACCATCTCCCAGTCCTATAGCTCAAAGATTCCAACAAAAAAAAAATGTTGCTTGGTTGGCAGCTGTTCCGCACATCACAAAACGTCATATTTCACTTCCCAAGCAATCTATTAGGGTGTCCCATAATTACTTACCGTTTTTACCTCAAACATGGGCATTTCTCGAGAACTGGGGCACCTTAAAAATTTTCAAATAAATGATCGTATTTCTGTATGTGTGAGCTATATGATCACGTGTGTGGGAGGAGCTCAGGAAGTCTAGGGGCGGAGTTTGCCACTTTACATCACTCATTTTTTCCTTATTTCTGGCCATGGAAAAAATTCGCAAAGTGTACAATTGAATACGCGATGTGTCAAGCATATGATGGGATAAATGGGGAATTTTTTAGATGATTTGGGGCGGAGATACGATTTTTAACAGTAAAATCCGTTTTTGACTGCTATCATATTTCAGCTCAAAACTTTAAGTGGATTGCGATTTGTGCAGACTCTTATAGCCATCTTGTAGAGCTTGCTTTGCCCTATCGAATGGTTACTCAAGCCTCATCAGTTAGAGGAAAGATACTAAATGACGACCGTCGAAGTAAAAACGGTAAATAATTATGGGACAACAATTATAGATAGAAAGCAGTTGATAAAAATTCTTATGCTGTGCCCAGAAGACTCTTCTTCAGATCGTCAGAAGTTGATTGGTGTACACAAGGAAAAATTAGTTTGTTTCTTACCAGTACCAAAAATGTAAAAGCAAAGTGGTTGATTTACTTTCTACATGATTGGGAAACACTGCTTCCAAGTGTTGTTGGAATGCGAGGAATGGGAACCCTATAGTTCAAAGCTGAAGACGGCTTCAAAAATATGTATTATCGAGTTTTGCACAAAAAAAACACAGACGAAGCAAGCTTGATAACTCAGCAGTCGGTCTCTGCACCAACTCAAATAATTCGTACACGATTTTTATGCGAGTACAATTTCGATTAAATTATCCGAATAAAATCATTCTAAATCCTTTTCGATTATTGAGATTCCAATTTTATTCAATGATGGAAAGCCCCGAATTTTAAATTTCGAATACAAATATATTCGAATGTATTTGAATGATCGAATTTTTATTTTCGGATAATACTAGACACAGACATGGTCCTGTCGCGATCCACCGCGCTTTTGCCTTATTGGTCGCAGGTGGAGATGCATCGAAATTCGCATGTACACCTATGGCTGTTAGCGTTGGCTTCACATGAGAGAGGCAAGAGCCAATAAATCGAATATATAGCATTTTCGCAAGTTTGGTTTCGTAAACGTTATTTTAACCGGCTGTTATGGTTTGGTATGTGGGAACCCCTATATGTATCGAGTCCTATTTATTCAGCAAGATCAACAAACGAGTGAAAAGCTGCAATCAGAAACAGTCTCAAAAAATAACACAGTTTTCCCTAAAAACAAACAAAATTAGAAGAGATACTCTACGAATTGTTGCTAGTCAAAGTCGACTCACCTACAATGGATCCTTCGCTCAAGGTTGTCGTTTTTTTTGTACCAAACTCTGGATGCGGTGCAGGAGGAACCAAAGGCCTGCCGCCTATAGCCGTAGGAGATAATTAGGAGGGCGAGCGCTGTGGAGAAGATTTTGGCAAGGATCCAGGGAAACTTGGCGAGGACATCCATTGAAAACAAACCCTTATAACTCTCCTTAGAATCAAGTTTTAAGGATACGAAGGACAGATTTGGAATCAGTATTGAAATGCGCATTTTCAATAATACGCTTACCGGATAGTTGAACAACTCTGTCTCGCAACGATTTCTATCAAAAACTGTGCCTTCAAAATTTACCATTCTAAGTTGAAATTTCAAGCTCAATGTTGCGTGAAAATTTCAAGTGCATTTTTGTGAAAATTCTGGATAAGAAGCTGAAAGTATGAAATGGTAATAAGGAAGTAATGTTAACTAAGTTGCATGTGATGAACTTTTCTAATGTGTACGACATAAAGGATGACCGAGATAGTTTCAATGGCAAATCTTATGAAGTCTCTAATGTCAAAATTTGGAATTAGAATGGGTTTGAAGGTATGAGACAAACTGCATACTGAATCTTGACAACCTCCAAATGTGTTCTTATGACATTTTAATCGCTTTTCATTGAATCAAAAGACAAAGTAATTCTTAATCTCGAAGAAGAAAGAATGAATTTTGAATGAAAACCCCGAACTTCGACAACTTGAAACTTCAAAGTTCAAAACAAAAAGTTTCTATAAGGTAGTTGACATTTGTTACCACTACAACTCCAAATTTTCATTTACTTTTAGGCCCAGTGAATGCGCCTTCCAATTTGCATTACAAATCTGTTTTTAAAATTTTTCAAAGTCATCTCCAGGCAAGCTTATGAAGATTTGTTCCTAGAGGATGTCCTTACCAAGTTATCTTGGATTCTTGCCAAAATATTCTCCATAGCGCTCGCGCTCTTAATTATCTCCCGCGGATACAGGCGGCAGCCCTTTGGTTCCTCCTGCACCACCCCCCCAAACTCTAGCACCCGCAAAAAATTTTGCATCCATAAAATATTGTGAAGCCATATGTCAGCAAAAGGCTCCCCAGGATTTCCGCTTGGGGGAGGGGGGGGGGGAGAAATTTTGAATGAAGGTGCGTGGCGACAGGCTCCCCCGGAAGTTTATTTTACAGAAGTAAGAAATTTTTCGAAAATTTGAAAAATTATTTCAATTATTCAGAAGTATAAACAGTCACTGGCGCATTTCGGCTCATGTAATTCACTTTCAATTTCGCGACCTATTCTAGCCCACCCTCTTCCGGGCCCTGAATGACGTAACTGTCACAATACATCGGCAAAGCTATCAAATCTTCGCCTAAGCAATAGTCTACTTGATGTCTATATTCATGTATGTCGCTTTGTGGCGCTTTAGCTAAGAGGGAATCGACTACATACAGAGTATCTCAAGAGTCTTGAAGCATTTGTGGTCGCGTGTAGAAAAACACTACAATTCATCTATTCTATACAGTTTCATGAGTTTTCGAAGAATGTTCGTCAATGTAAAGTTATAACAGAAACGTCTGACTCAAGAGCATTCCAATTAACAAGGGAATGGTCAGAAACTGAAGTGGCCAATCCGAACGAGCTGATAACCATTGAATGAAGCATAAAACGCTGACTTCAAATTTGTATTCCATATGTGCTCATTGCCTATGTGGGCAAATTCATGAGCCTTTAAAAGCTGTTATTTTCCTACGGAATGATGCACGCAAAGCGCAAATTTGGCAGTACAGTACCATGTTCGGCTTAATGCTGGGCCAAAACATGCAGCCAGGTCACTTTCTTTTTAAAGCCTAGAGGTGGGCTGAAAGTGCAACAATGTGCGTGCTCAATTTCTCAATTTTTATGTACGATTTCCTTCGCATTAAATCTGCGCATACAGGGCTCCTCAATTGCAGAGTCGTTTGCACCAGCGGTCGCGCGATCGCGTCGCGCCCGGGCATTTTGCCGGCGCCGGCCCATCGATCGAGGCGGCGCCATTGATGTCCGGGCGCGGCGCGGTCGCGCGACCGCTGGTGCAAGCGACTCTGCAATTTAGGAGCCCTGTAACTTCTCCCACAAAGGCGCTAAGCAGATATGGAGTACAGAGTCGAAATCAGCGTTGAATGCTTCGAATGGTGGCAGCTTACTCGGGTTGTCCACTTCGACTTCCGACAAGTTCCTTGCAAGTATTACCAGATGGTTTGTGTATCGTGCATGTTTAACGATGTTTCGTACGTGTAGAATACTAAAACTTTTTGTAAAGTTGGCGAGTTGAAACTTTGCATGAAATCTTCTACATGTCTGCTAACTGTGTTAGGTAAACCGACTAAGAAACGTTCACGTTTTTAACGGAATGTGATATAGATCAAAGAACTATGGTATCTTGAACCAATGAGTTCAGCTTTTTGATTGCTTGTGACATGACTTGGAAATTTCAGTCCTCTTCTACTGGACACACTCCTAAATCAGCAAAAGGTATTGTAATGCATTTTCGTTATACAGTGCTTCTGTAACCTGAGTATTTGCAGATCCAATCCAAATTCGCACGAACGTCAGTAAAAAGGTCTATCATATCTGCAAAAATGGAAGGAAGTAAGTTGTCCGAACCTATACTACTATAGGCGTACTTCTGTTGTGCTGATTGCAATCGCCCATACCGTGACTAGTAATCCCTACTAGAATGTGACGTCCCCTTTCGTCTACTTGAAACAGTGGACCTCCACTATCTCCCTGAGTTTCTTCACTTTCTCAAGTTTTAGAAGAGAATCAGAGCATTCGGATACAACTTAACTCCACATGTTCCCTTCGCAAAGGTTTTTGTTTGAATCAGATGCTGTGACTCATCGACTGCATGGTAACGGAGTGCTACTACTTGCTGTCCATGCGAATAGATCCCGTTAGGATCGTCAAAAGTTATAGGACTTGAAGCTGAAATTGAAGAAACGTAGCTTCTGCTTGAAATTGATTCATATATTTAGAAGTATGTGAGCTGCTGAATCCGGAAGCGGCTTTGCAACACCTTCACTACCCAGATTATGTTTCGTTGCAATGCATCCAATTTTTTTGGCTCACGATCGGATCCGATGCCGCTTGCATACAGAACAGGATTCAGTTGCAGATCATCCTCGGGCATGCAGATCGCTGTCGAATCGTTTTCCAAAATATTCTGGCTGAGTTCAATGAGTGCCAAATCATCATGGAGGTGTCACATGTTTAATTCCTTTGTTGTGATCTGAAAACATGTGAAATGGACAACGAACGGAATAATCAACTTTGATTTTTGCCTTTCTTGCTCTATATAAATTCTTGTTGTGGCAAATAAGACTGTTGCAGTGGTCTCTCCCGCCACCTATGAAAATTGTTATCTCTTCTGGCTTCGTTAGCATGGGGACAATGCTAAATGTTAGTAGATGGGCCGATTGACGTTCGCAGCTTTTTTTGTGCCGACCTGTGTGGCTGGTCCCTGGCGCAAAGCTCTATTCTTTCCTCTTCATCAAAGTCCAACACACAATGAGTAGCTGTTAGAATATGTCGTGGAGATATCTGAACACCACTGCACACAGTTTTTCCTGAAAAATGAAAAGGTTGATATAGTACTACTATAAGCAAACAATGTACCTATGAATATTACGACAGACCAAGGATACTCGTTTTCTTCGAATTCTCGACCTCCATAGGACTTCTTAACCAGACGATTCTTCTGGATGGGCTGCCCTGCATGTATAACAACGACTGCCAATGCCGTCTTTAGAAAAATTGATCTCTTTCCTTACCTAGGAAATGAACGCCGCAGTTTTTTCTATTGAGCTCATTCTCTCGCGTAGTAAGTTTCTGACTTTGAATCTGTGCGCCTACAAGAAGTAGAAGAAAAAATGGTGTTACCATCATCTTAAAATCTGTCTGCCTACTCGGTTTGCCCCTTTATTTAACATGGCAGGCCTTTTCTATGAACAAAATGAGCCTTTGTTATACGTCCTGATTCACAATCTTCCTTTCAAGATGAATTGCTTTTGAAATGAACATATGCCCCTTCCACTTGTGAGTTGAAAGAACATAGCGAAAGAACTATGAATTGTATCGCGAGCAGAACTTCCCTTTCATTACTATGACGTCTAATTTCTACCTTCACAAAACCTTGTCTCGTACAAGCATTGTCACTGCTATTGTCCGAAAATGTGCACCCGCTTGATTTGGAATACACTAATATAAATTTGTGCTAGATTGTGCGAGCACAGATATACTGAAGTCAAACTAGACTTCGTTTTTGGGGTATGGACATGTCCGTACATGTCCGTACATGTCCATACATGTATGGACATGTCCATACATCAGCGTCGCGTGGCCATATCTCGCTTCAGAGTGGACGAATTCTGAATCCAAAGCCACCATTCGATTCAGCTTGGCGCGGAGAATCTTCTGATATATTGGAAGTGAGGGTACGATGTCTTCGATATTCCGTTTCCAGTTTTTTCAATTTGTTCTGCGGAGGTCCTTTCGCGAATATGTGAAGCAAAGCCTACCCAACATAGAAGACTTTACTGAGTACTATTCGATAATACTGTTCTTGTAGATTATTGTGCGCTAGAAAATAGGCTCAGACTTCTTTCCAAAGGAGATAGAAGCGTTGGTGAATTTTGAAAAAATCACGCGTTTTTAAATTCTACTCGCCATAACTTCCTCCGGAATGAGTATATTTTGAATCCGAGAGCAGAGCCTTGCTCAGCTCATCAAGGCGAATCTTCTCATATACAGCATGTCCTTGATATTTCGATTTCAGTATTCTTGAATTTTTCTGAGGACGTCTATTCGCGAAGGTGTAAAGCAGCGAGCATTGTCCCAAGTAAATTCCAGCAAGGATCTTTCGATAGCATTTTTTCTGTAGATTATGATGTGCTAAATAGTAGCCGCAGGTTTCTTTTCAAAGAAAATAGAACGGCTGATGAATTGGAAAAATCTTGTCGTCCCAAATTCTACTCGCCATAGCCGCAGGATTCGAAGCTATCTTGCTAAGCAGATGTGAGTTTCGAAATCAGCAGGTCGGATAACCTCTGTGAGCAAGTTTTCCGATATGTTCGGGTTATTCCATTTTTTCTCGTTTTACGCTCCAGAAGCTCGCCGATGGATTTTGGTCAAAAAGTTGATGCTCCTGAATTGTAAGGAAACTTCGCTTATAGAGGTTTTCGAACACGCTCTTTACGAAAATCGTGGTCTTTGAGGATTACAGGGTCTTTCTTGAGAGATACGATGAGGTGACTGTAACTTCATCACGAAAGTACGTAACTTTGGCCGCACTTCTCGCGTATCTGTCAGAAACGTTGCCTGCTTGCTTTTTTCAGTCAAAGTTACTAGGAACTGTGCTATCGGATGGTGCATTACTCAGACTCCAGTCTGTGAAATTCGCCGAGTTACGAGCCTACGAAAACACGTCCTCATGAATTTTGCCCAAAATGTAAAGATCGCATATCTAGTCGAAATTCCTCAGTGAGCGCTTGTATTAGGTCATTCGGAAAGTTTTTTCGTTTTTGCACCTCCAAATTCAAACGAGCACAATTTTTTCTGATTCAACCTTTTTCCATCAAATAAACTGCATTGTGTTCAGCAAATTTCTCGTTACACTCTTATAGTGCTCTTGTGCTTTTCTCTTGCGAAATGATCTCAGAGGAATCACTAAAGCCTGAAAAGGCGTTTTTTGACTAGTCAATCTCTATTAGGCCCTATTATTTTTCAATAGGCACCGAGGAATTGGAAAATTCGGTAACTGGTAAAGGAAGGACTAAAGAGTTTGAAAAATAAACAGGAACCTCGGTGCGCAACCCCTTTTGTGAGAGCCACTTTTCTTACATGTGCTTTGGCGGAGTCATGGGCGTGGATGGCATCTCTCATAACTTATACGTGCAAGTCTGCTCAGTTTTGAAATTTTGACAAACAGTCTTCAGAGCGACATCACACTACTCTGCTCTTATAGTACAATCGCATTTTAGCAAGTTTATAGCGTACAAGACCAGCAGGATTACATTGATTTGAGTACATCAACCTTTTGGAATGACAGATTGTTCTGGTCATGCTTTCAATGCTTATTCCAAATGATTTACCACATTGTCGCTTCTTATAGCCGCACTTGGCCAATTTTTTGCTGATTAATAACCCAGGCCGGAAAAGGATGGCTACATAAAATTATGAGCGACGAAAGCAATGTCAACGCGCCCTCAAACTGCGAGTGCGACAATTTGTGGGGTACATGTCGCTGAAATTTTTCGGTATTGCAGCTTTAGCGAAGGTGGTTCCTAATAGGGTTATATGACACTTCAGGGCCTGCTGATAATTTTACGCAGCTATAATTGCGATTTGTTCCAAAGGACCCTCTGAGATGCTCGTTTATATGGCAGAAACACCTTCCAGAACACTACAAAATATTAGCTTTCACTTCTCTAGATCTGAACTTTCTGAAGTAAACTTGAACCTACCTCAAGAAAGACGTGGTCTTGGCAAATGCATCGCGCGCAATGATGGTTTCCTCAACGGTCTTACGCTCAAATTTAAGCTTAGAGAATACAATTATTCGAAAATCGCGTTTTCGCATGTCGAATTTAGAGCCGCGTAAACTTCCCCACAAAGCGTTTTGTGCAATTTCGGTGGGATCCCAGAAACTACAAGACTTCCTCTACAGATCCATATATGGCAACCCTTATCAGCCCCCTGGCACCCTCTTAAAATAGGTATCAACATCAAAGGCGCAAAAAGGAAAAACTTTCCGAATGACCTAATACAACGCGCTTATCAAATCCGTTCACATTTTTAATGGATCTTATTGTGTTAGATTTGGTGCTTTGAGCTCTAACCACGAAATAGCTTTGATATTCAATTGAGCAGCTGAAGCAGACGCAAGCACCATATTCAGTGCAGTGGGTCGTTGGACGAAGCGAACATAATATCTGCAACGAGCATCATACAAGCGCTCACGGAGGAATTTCGACTAGATATTCGATCTTTACATTTTGGGCAAAATTCATGAGGACGTGTTTTCGTAGGCTCGTAACTCGGCGAATTTCACAGACTGGAGCCTGAGTAATGCACCATGCGATAGCACAGTTCCTAGTAACTTTGACTGAAAAAAGCAAGCAGGCAACGTTTCTGACAGATACGCGAGAAGTGCGGGCAAAGTTACGCACTTTCGTGATGCAGTTACAGTCACTTCACCGTATCTCTCCAAAAAGACCCTGTAATCCTCAAAGACCACGATTTTCGTAAAGAGCGTGTTTGAAAACCTCTATAAGCGAAGTTTCCTTACAATTCCTCAGACACTGGGACCGGCCGAGCCGCGGCCCATTTCCGGCTGGAATTTCGCAGCGTCCGCGGACCAGCCGGTGAATGGTCCGCGGCTCAGCCGAAAAACGGCCTTGGCTCAGCCGGAAAACGTCCGCGGCTCAGCCGGAGCTGGTTGTCGGGCCATCTAGTTTATTCTAGCTCGGATACAAAACACAGTTTTTTTTTATTCACTGGCACGTAAAATATACGCTGTGAAAAACAAAGATTGAGGCCACAGACATGGCCGTTTCGGAAACCATGTCCGGATTCAAGATCGGACAACACAAAGTGCTATCCAGCTGTTGTACAACATATTCAGGTGTTATACAATCTATTGGTCTTGTTCTTGTTAAAAGTGGAGTTTCCTTATGAAACGTGTACTATCTTATAGCACTGATTCTACCCGATATAGAAGGTATGCAGAATAGCACCTCGTATGAATTGATATCACTATAGTCGTCCTCCCCCCACTAGACACCTAAAGGATAGATTCGAATTTGAACTTGAACACGCCGATTGCGGCAGAGCGCGGCATTGTCAACTCCAATTCAACCTCACCCAATATTCTCTGGTGTTTCTTCGTCGTTGCATGGTGATTTGTTCCAATAATGTTTGTAATCAAAATCGACGAAATTGTTGCTGCTTAGCAATGTTTCGTGCCACTATGCTCGCTTCTTCGGTTTTTATTTCAGCTAAATTTGAAATCAGAATTCAAATAACGAGCATAGTAGCAGGAAACATCACTCAAGACTAAAAAAGTCTGCAATCCAGTTGAGAAGACTGCTAACATTCAAAAAATAGGATGAAACGTTCCGAAAACACAAAAACGCCTGTTCGAGATCAAAGTGAGGGCTGCAGGTACCGCGCTCTACCGCAAACGGCGTGCTGTACTTCAAATTCGAATTCGTCCACTAGGTGTCTAGTGGGGGGAGGACGACTATAAAAGCGTTAGCGTTACGGCTAGGTTTTGCATCCTTGATAGATTGGATAACTTCGGCTAGGGAAAACTTATATATCTACCCGAAAGACTTGCCGCAACATAGCTACAGGGTAGGGCATTTGAGCCATTGCATATGCAATCAGCACCTAATTAGCATTGTATGCAGAGACGATCTTTGCACACAATAGTCTCAGCCCTGATCCAGCAAAGCATGAGGACGCGACTTTTGTGAATTTGAAGTTAATGTTCATTTACGATATATCGCTCTCTTCCCGAATACACTACACACCTCACACCTTTATTTTACGCTGTTTTAGCGAACTCGCAGATTCAAAGAATTGGTACGAACGCTGCAAGCACGCCTAGCTTATCTATCGATAAATGCTTCTCGAGAAAATTCATCTAAATTTCGGGGTCTGAACAGTTTGGGTTTGGCTGGTTTTCCTGAACGTGGGGAACTTTTCTTCTGTGCTTCAATGTCCTCAAATTTGCAGCAAGATCCTGACGAAAACTTCAAACTTTAAGTTCAAACCCATAGAACCAATAGTTTTCATGCTTTGTTGGATCAGGGCTGAGATTACAGTGTGCACGGATCAACTGACAGCTCACGTAACCTATAGCTACTGCGGTAATTCTCGGGTATGTAAGTTCCCGCACTCCCATTCGCTTGCTCCATGGCCGAAGCTTCCTTGACCGACGTGGATCTGAGAGCATCCTCAGGCGATACTGCCCTCGCCGTGCTTAGTATGTTTTGGATTGCGCTACGTTTTGTCAGGATGGATGCGGAGCAATGGACAGATGCACAGAGAGGAACGCGTAGCCATCACAAACAAGCTCGCACCATTTCTGAAGCTATGCCGGTTGTGACCTATATCCGCATAGCCCAAGGCTTAGCATTCCATTCCTAGCGCCCAGTGTTGAGTGTTGGTCTCCCTGTAAAGCTTATAAAGGTGGACTGTTCCGTTCCGGCATTGTTATACACTTCGTCCACCTTACTGCTCAGTCTGCTGTGGTAGAGCATTTGGAAAGACAAATCTAAGTGTTCTTCACTTCCAGGCTCTAACGAAGCCAAACAAGTCGAAACTTTAGCCAAATAAAGTTGTTATCAAAGCAACATCACATAATTCAGAAAGCAATAAGAACTTGATAACGATAGAACAAATAGCCCGAAGTTTGGGCATGCTTTGGAGATTCAACTTTGATTATGAAACAAGGTTGTTAGGGATATAATTCGTACTTTTTTTGCTAGTGAGGTTTTGCTAGCAATATAATTTATACTCCTCTCTTTGTTTCCTTCCAACTCACAGTGAAGCGAGATGCTCTGGATCACAACGCAACCACGCGCATGAAAAGAATAGAATGTGAATCAGGTATGCATAAGACAAACTTCAAAAGAGCATTTTGGGAGGGCGAACACCGATTGGCAGATAAACTTCATGATGATGGTAACATCACTTCTTCTTCTATTTCTCTTAAGCTCACAGATTCATAGTCGAAAACTTACTACGGAGGAGAATGAGCTTAACAGCAAAAAGTGCGGCGTTCACTTTCTAGGTAAGAGCGTAGTTTATTTATGCACCGACATATTTGTTATTCATTTGCTATCTTGGAAAATTTAGGACAACCCATCGGGAGAAATCGCCTTGTCAAAAAGTCTTAGGGAGGTCGAGAATTTGAAGAAAATGAGTATCCATGGACTGTCATACTGTTGCGAGGTAAATAAATTGCAGTAACAACATTATACGTAAGCCTTTATTCATCCTTAGGGCAAAGACTGCGCTGCAGTGGCGTGCAGATATCTCCACGACATATTCTGACAGCTACGCACTGTGTTTTGATCTACAATGAAAAAGTGAGGTCTGATCTGTGCGCCATAAACCGTCCACAAAGGTTAGCCCCTTTTTTCTCGCTTTTGTGGGGTCTGCAACTAGCTAACTTACCTTATAAACGAACTTAATATTCGAAAATGACCATGTTGCTTGAGTGGTTCAACCTCTGGAAACCTTAGAATTTGCTGAAACCTGATCCAGATTGATTACTTCACATGCTAATTACAAAAATGATACTCATTATGCTTGATATAGCTTCTTTATTATGCCTACTGTACGTATACTATGAAAGTCAACACCAAGGCGCTTCCATTTTGCAAAATGGGCTTATCTGACTTTGTTAACACATGATGTTATCGCTATAGTATCACTTCGATCACGACCCCCCCCCTTCCCTTCCTTCTCCCCCTCAGTACGACCCCGCAAATGTGACGTGTCACTCACGCTTGACCCTATGCATAACGAAGAGCATTAGGCTATCAACTAGTTCTGCTGCTTGATATTTTGCGAAACCCAACTATCACAAGCATTACAACAAGATTAATTTGAGACCATTCCGGACGTTCTATAAACTAATCTTCAGCATCGTTTCCGTGCTAATGGAGCCACAAGAGGTATCAGTTCTCATAGGTGGAAAGAAAATCTACTGCGACAATTTTACTTGTCAACACAATAAGGCTTTGTATGGAGCAAAAAAGGCAAGATTCATTCGTTACTTGTGGTTCTTTGACCACTTTCAACACAGGCCATTCGCAATCTACTACACCTGTTTTCAGATCACTGTGAAGGAAATGAACATGTGCGACTTTGACAATGATTTAGCCATCATTGAGCTCAGCCAAAATGTCTCGGAAAATGACTCGACTGCGATCTGCAGCCCAAAGATGGCTTGCAACTGAATCCTGTTCTATACGCAAGCGGCATCGGAAGCGATCGTAAGCCAACAAAGCAAAACTACGAGAAGGGGCCTTTTGAACGCTCGCCATAGGAAACCGTGACTGGTCAGTCAGGGAGGGCGTGCAGGAGTTCCTAGCACCTTTCCTCGCACCAACTTCGCACCAGCATTCGCACCCAGGAGGGTTCTAGCACCTCCGTGCCTCAGAGGTCAGGCCCCGCCTATTGCTCCACCCATTTACTGGACTCATTGTGAAGTGTGTAAGCAGCGAGAACATAGATCCAGGTATTGAGATAATGAGAGAGAAATGGAGAAAAAACGAAGAACATAGTTATCATTCATCAAGTGAGGCGGCTTGGAAACTTCTGCTACCCCATCCTTTAAAAAAGAGTATTTGAACATCATTTTCAGAGAAGAAAATTACACAGAATTTTTGAGTAGAAAACCCGGTCATTCGAAACATTGGTGGACTAGTTGATTAATTGTACATTAATTGATCATCTGATTGAAGTAATAGCATCAGGAGTTTGAGAACCCAAGCCTTTTACATTAGAAGGACCTTTTCTGAAAGGAGGATATCAAATTTTTCGAATAAGCAACTGAACGCTTTCTCCAACAGCCAGGATATCCAAATACATACATGTACTTTTCTACTTTCGTCTGCCATCATTTCGACAGAGTTGTTCATTCCAATTACTCTGATTATCAATAAGATCCAAATTCAATAAGAAATTTAGAAGTGTGGTTTTTCCTGCAATCGATGTACTAGAACACCAACCTTCATCGCATAATCGAAGAGCTGGCCGAGAGTTCCAAATACAACACATTATTTGCAAAATCTTATATATAAAGCTGAATGTCTGTTTGTCTGTCTGTCTGTATGTCTGTATGTCTGTCTGTCTGTCTGTCTGTACGTATGTTCCGAATAGAAAATTCCATTTCTGAACCGATCCGGACCAAACTTGGCACACATACACTACGGGCCCCGGCGGGTGTCATAGGCTACTTTTCGTCATCGATCGATATCGATTTTATCGATTTTTATCGATTTTTTGCTGAGTTCACCTACGGGGCTGGGAGTTGGCACAGGGGGGTAATCGAGCATGGGGATTCCGAATACAATATTGGTTTTCAGGATTATCGATTACTTTTATCGATTTTATCGATTTTTTTGCAAAGTTTGAGCTACGGGGCTGGGAGTTGGCACAGGGGGTAATCGAGCATGGGGATTCCGAATACAATATTGGTTTTCAGGATTATCGATTACTTTTATCGATTTTATCGATTTTTTGCAAAGTTTGAGCTAGGGGGCTGGAATTTGGCACAGGGGGGTAATCGAGCATGGGGATTCCGAATACAATATTGGTTTTCAGGATTATCGATTACTTTTATCGATTTTATCGATTTTTTTTTGCAAAGTTTGAGCTACGGGGCTGGGAGTTGGCACAGGGGGGTAATCGAGCATGGGGATTCCGAATACAATATTGGTTTTCAGGATTATCGATTACTTTTATCGATTTTATCGATTTTTTTGCAAAGTTTGAGCTACGGGGCTGGGAGTTCGCACAGGGGGGGGGTAATCGAGCATGGGGATTCCGAATACAATATTGGTTTTCAGGATTATCGATTACTTTTATCGATTTTATCGATTTTTTTGCAAAGTTTGAGCTACGGAGCTGGGAGTTCGCACAGGGGTGTAATCGAGCATGCTGATCACCCCCTTGGGGATGATCAGCATGCTCGATTACCCCCCCCCCCCTGTGCAAACTCCCAGCCCCGCAGGTCAAACTTTACAAAAAAATCGATAAAATCGATAAAAGTAATGGACGATCCTGAAAACTAATATTGTGTTCGTAATCAGCATGCTCGATTACCCCCCTGTGCAAAATCCCAGCCTCGCATGTCAAAATTTACAAAAAATCGATAAAATCAACAAAAGTAATCGATAATTCTGAAAACTAATATTGTATTCGGAATCCCCATGCTCACTTCCCCCCCTGTGCCAACTCCTAGCCCTGTAGGTGAACTCTGCAAAAAAATCGATAAAAATCGGTAAACTCGACATCGATCGATAACGAAAAGTGGACTGTGACACCCGCCGCGGCCCGAAGTGTATGTGTGCCAAGTTTGGTCCGGATACGGCGGAGCCGGGTAAGCCAGCTAGTTCGCTATATTCTTACAAGGAAAGGATACTTGGTAACCATGGCCAATCTTAATGACTTATTATCAAAGAATGCGCCTTCTAATGCTGGTTCGAATGCTGTCTTCCATATCTGCGAAACGATAATCTGGATGGAGTTATAATTATTTTTTCCTGAATAAACTGTGTCACTGCGGAGAATCAGAATCATCAACAAAAAGTTTTGTTTTCTTCTCAAATGCTGAATTCAATTTAGATGGGTGTAACGCAACAGTATTCCTCTAAAGATTCTCTTCATTAGCTTCAAATGGTAATCTAAGATGAATTTGGTGTTTTTACTATTCAAAAGTGTGCTTATTTCCTACTAAAAAAATTCATAACTTCCTTCAGACGATCGTTTCGCAGCACAAATTCAGAATCAGCATTTCGAGATGCATCTTACGGTATACATCTCATTCCTAACGGTCACGGTCACTGAATATCCGTCCCTTGTTAGATGAATTTTTGGTGTTGCGTGAGATTGATTAGCTTCTCTGTTGTATACTGTGATAGGAAGATAACTTCTGCTTGATTTATACTATTAATGGTATGCTTCACAAATTTACTCAAGCGCGAGAACTTGCTTTTCAAGAAAGCTCCATTTTATTCAAAAAATGAGTAAAACATAACTCGAAATGCTGAAATTCAGCCTCAGTCATTTACGAATTCTAAAACCTTACAGAAACCTACAAGTTCCTTTTTTGTTTCTCGATTTCAGTTCTATCATATTATCCTCAAAATACAGTGCACGTCTCACATTGCGTGTACACATTTCAAAATGAGGGCACCTAAACGGAGGAGTGATGGGCGGAGCCGCCCTTGGCGCCGAGTAGGTGTGATGTCCTTCAAGGGATTTTGGAGGTGCCAAGTACCCTTGCGAGAAAAAGCGGCTAAGCTTTGGGAACTCCTGCCACGCCGCCGTCAGTCAGCACGTCAATTATCGTGTGGGCTTGGGAGGAAACGGCTCTTTGAACCGCTCGCTATCACGGCGAGCCTCTGATTGGTTAACATGTCCACTGCCATAACGAGTTAATACTCGCTCATTTTTCTATATCTTTCGTCCCCAACATGATGATAGCTTTTGGCACAGGTATATTACATGCTTCAAACTAAGGGTCTTCCCCGTTGACTGTAAATGCGACTTGTTAGCTTTGCCAGCGGCGCCGCAAGCGGCGAAACGAGCATCGTGCGAAGGGTTCAAAAGCGCCTGCACCCATCAGATTCATAGGCTAGTGCGGGGCGAAAACGAAAAACAAATGCGGACGCGTTTTTATGCCGCAGAACGCATGGGACGCAGGGTTTACAACGGTGAAAATACGCGCGTTCAACGCGTTCAACTAATAATGCTTTTGCTTCTTCATTAGGCGGTAGCCTTTATAGGCAGCATCCCGGCAAAAAGATGGCTGCTGGGTTTTTGTGGCGATGTTAAAGTAGACCCCTACCTAAGCGATGACAGAAGTTCGGGTAGGCCCGGATGTCGCCCACACAGCAATATCGATTTGCAAGGGCCAGAGTGCGTATAGCGCACACAGTCATGAGCGCAGGTCCCGCAACGACTCTACGTCTCTACCTTGCATGCATCTCGCACTCGCCCGAGCCTACCGTAAGATTCGGGCCACTTGAGGGGCGATTTGTAGACTTCGTAGACCCCCTTTCGTGTTGCAAACCTCTGTCGTCGCTTAGTTAGGGGGTCTACTATTACAACACTACTAGAGCCAGGTAACCCCAGTCTGGTGGGACGCTGCCTTCAAGTCGATGATGGGTGTTAGCGGATACATGTCTTTTGTCTATAAGTTACAATACCGCTCACATTTTTTGAAAAAAAGACGCGAATGTATGGACATGTCTGGACATGTACGGACATGTCCATACATGTAAGGACATGCCCATACATCAGCGTCGCGTGGCCATATCTCGCTTCAGAGTGGACGAATTCTGCATCCAAAGCCACCATTCGATTCAGCTCGGCGCGGAGAATCTTCTGATTTATTGGAATTGGGGGTACGATGTCTTCGATATTCCGTTCCCCAGTTTTTTTTTCAATTAGTTTTTCGGAGGTCCTTTCGCGAATATTTGAAGCAACGGCTACCCAACATAGAAGACTTTACTAAGTACTATTCGATAATACTGTTCTTGCAGATTATTGTGCGCTAAAAAATAGGCTCAGACTTCTTTCCAAAGGAGATAGAAGCGTTGGTGAATTTTGGAAAAATCACGCGTCTTTAAATTCTACTCGCCATAACTTCCTTCGGAATAAGTATGTTTTGAATCCGAAAGCTGCGCCTTGCTCAGCTCATCAAGGCGAATCTTCTCATATACAACATGTCCTTGATATTTTGATTTCAGTATTCTTGAATCTTTCTGAGGACGTCTTTTCGCGAAGGTGTAATGCAGCGAGCATTGTCCCGAGTACATTTCAGCAAGGATCTTTCGATAGCACTTTTTCTTCAGATTATGATGTGCTAAATAGTAGCCGCAGGTTTCTTTTCAAAGGAAATGGAACGGCTGGTGAATTGTGGAAAAATCTTGTCGTCCCAAATTCTACTCGCCATATCCGCAGGATACGAAGCTATCTTGCTAAGCAGATGTGAGTTTCGAAATCAGCAGGTCGCATAACCTCTACGAGCAAGTTTTCCGATATGTTCGGGTCATTTCATTTTTCCTCGTTTTACACTCCGGAAGCTCGCCGATGGATTATGGTCAAAATGTTGATGCTCTTGAATTGTAAGGAAACTTCGCTTGTAGAGGTTTTCGAACAAGCTCTTTACGAATATCGTGGTCTTTGAGGATTACAGGGTCTTTTTGGAGAGATACGGTGATTTGATAAATACCAAGTTGGGTGGCAGCAACGAATTTATTCACAGGGAATAGTGACGAACAGCGACTGGGTGATAGTGACGACTCCAGAACTTGGTATCCAGACTCTTTTATACAGCCAAATTGGGCGTGTATAGCCTGGATGCCAACTTCTGGCAAAGAATGCTATCAATGCAGTAGAAGTTTCGCCTACTTGAAAGTAGGCGCCGCCGAGTGCATTATCAAGGGCCATGAGGGTGACCCGGCGGCTAAACAGGTGCATGGACAATCTACAACTTGTCCATGACAGAATGGATACATTCACATAATCGAAGACAGTCGTTAACAAATATTATTAACGACAGGTGAAGTGACTGTAACTGTATCACGAAAGTGCGTAACCTTGCCCGCACTTCTCGCGTATCTGTCAAAAACCTTGCCCGCTTTCTTTTACAGGTTAAAGTCAGTAGGAACTGTGCTATCGAATGGTGCATGACTCAGGCTCTAGCCTATGAAATTCGCCGAGTTACGAGCCTACGAAAACACGTCCTCATGAATTTTGCCCAAAATGTAAAGATCGCACATTTCGTCGAACCTCCGTGAGCGCTTGTATGATGCTCGTTGCAGATATTATGTTCGCTTCGTCCAACGATCCACTGTATTGAATATGGTGCTTGCGTGTGCTTCAGCTGTTCAATTGAATATCATAGCTATTTCGTGGCTAGAACTCAAAGCACCAAATCTAACACAATAAGATCCATTAAAAATGTGGAAGGATTTGATCAGCGTGTTGTACAAGCGCTCACGGAGGAATTTCGACGAAATATGCGATCTTTACATTTTGAGCAAAATTCATGAGGACGTGTTTTGGTAGGCTCGGTAACTCGGCGAATTTCATAGGCTAGAGCCTGAGTCATGAACCATTCGATAGCACAGTTCCTAGTAACTTTGACTGAGGAAAGCAAGCAGACAAGGTTTCTGACAGATACGCGAGAAGTGCGGGCAAAGTTACGCACTTTCGTGATGCAGTTACAGTCACTTCACCGTATCTCTCCAAAAAGACCCTGTAATCCTCAAAGACCACGATATTCGTAAAGAGCTTGTTCGAAAACCTCTACAAGCGAAGTTTCCTTACAATTCAAGAGCATCAACATTTTGACCATAATCCATCGGCGAGCTTCCGGAGTGTAAAACGAGAAAAAACGAAATGACCCGAACATATCGGAAAACGTGCTCGCAGAGGTTATGCGACCTGCTGATTTCGAAACTCACATCTGCTTAGCAAGATAAATTCGTATCCTGCGGATATGGCGAGTAGAAATTGGGACGACAAGATTTTTCCACAATTCACCAGCCGTTCCATTTCCTTTGAAAAGAAACCTGCGGCTACTATTTAGCACATCATAATTTACAGAAAAAGTGCTATCGAAGGATCCTTGCTGAAATGTACTCGGGACAATGCTCGCTGCATTACACCTTCGCGAAAAGACGTCCTCAGAAAGATTCAAGGATACTGAAATCGACTACCGGTCGACTTGATGAATTCAGAGGATCCATCAGATTTCAAAGTTCGTCCAATCATAAGTAATGTCGGCGGCCCAACGCATAGAATTTCCTGGTTGCTTAATCTCATCCTCACTCAAATGCTGCAATTTATCCCTGCGCATCTGCCTAATACCAGCGCTTTGTTAGAGCATCTGCGAAGCATGCGATTCAGTGGAAGCGAAGTCATAGAATCTTTCGATGTTACTTCTCTCTATACAAACGTGTCTAACTCAGCTGCGCTACAGGCTGTGTTCGAATTGCTCAATGAGAAGATCGATAACATCGGCTTGTATGGATTTACTATCCAACAGGTCATGACGCTGTTGCAAGGTTGTCTAGACTGTTCGATTTTTCGCTGGTCGGGGCAATACTTCAAACAGATCAGGGGACTTGCTATGGGGCAGCGTTTGGCTCCTGCGATAGCTGTATGCTTCATGTCAAGAGTGGAAAAGCCAGTACTTGACCGCAGTCCTACTCTCTGCTACCGGTACATTGATGACTGCATCATCGTCTGTCCGACTCAAACGGAAATGGACACGTGCTTTGACCTACTCAACAAGCAATCAGCTGACATCCGATTTACCAGGGAAGCGCCGAAAGAGGGTTGGCTACCATTTCTCAACGTTCAGATCTGCTTGAGGAGAGGGGAATGTAGGACCAGGTGGTACAGGAAGCCAACCAGTAAGAACATTCTCGTGCATTACTCCTCAGCGCACCCTATGAGCACCAAACGCAGCGTCGTCGGTAACATGCTTCGCACAGCTAAGGCGGTGTCGTCAGACGATGATCTCAAAGCCGCTTCTATTAGTAGGACACTCCAGGTAGCGCAGGCTAACGGGTACCCATTCAAAAGGGCGCGAGGAAGCCACATCAACAGAGTACGTGACCAGGATGGTAGTAAGGTAGCACTCTGCCTCCCCTTCATTTCGGATGAGTTCAGTAAAGTTATCAGAGCCTGCGTACGAAAATCGGGATTGCAAGACTCACTCAGAGTCGTTGAGATTCCTCCTGCTAATCTTAAGCAACGTCTAGTGCGCAACAGGGCATATGACCAAGCATGTAGCGTTCCTGATTGCGTAATTTGCGCAACAAATAGTGATGGGGATTGCATGCGCTCTGGTACGGTTTATCTCATTACTTGTAAGCTATGTGGGGAGGAATATGTGGGAGAGACGGGAAGGCCTTTATGTGTTAGGATCAGGGAACACATAGACGGGTTGCGAAGATCAAGGCTATCAACCCCCTTGGGCACGCATCGCAAGCTATGCCACCAGGACACAGAATTCGATGTTTCGGTCAACATTCTGTCACGGGAAACCGAGGTGTCAGCGCGAAAGACGCTCGAGGCGTGCTGGATTCTATCCCGGAATCCCAAAATGAACAGAAAAGAAGAATGCGCCGCCGTAACAACTGAGCTCGCGCCATTAATGGAGTTATGCAAGTTTTGATCTATGCGTAGCCTCCAGAGACTCGCCTCACTCATTGTTAGCGCATCCCAGTCAGCGGTGGTTCTACCTTATTCTGACAAAAAAGGTGAGCTAATAGTTTTAGGCCTTAACGGGAGTCTATCCAACTTCTTGGACTTTTTCCTGCATGTGATGAGATGTTTGGGAGGTTAATTCCTAATGTTCCTCACTTTATAGGCTCTGACGAAGGCGACTAGGCCAAAACGTTAGCCGAATAAATGCTATGATAATCTTGGTGTTGGCTCAATCATAAAAGCAACTGCTTCTATCTCCTTTGGAAGGAAGTCTGAGCCTATTTTTTAGCGCACAATAATCTGCAAGAACAGTATTATCGAATAGTACTTAGTAAAGTCTTCTATGTTGGATAGGCGTTGCTTCACATATTCGCGAAAGGACCTCCGCAAAACAAATTAAAAAAACCGGGAAACGGAATATCGAAGATATCGTACCCCCAGTTCCAATATATCAGAAGATTCTCCGCGCCGAGCTGAATTGAATGGTGGCTTTTCAGAATTCGTCCACTCTGAAGCGAGATATGGCCACGTGAGGCTGATGTATGGACATGCCCATACATGTATGGACATGTACGGACATGTCCGTACATGTCCATACATGTCCATACATTCGCGTCTTTTTTTCAAAAAATGTGAGCGGTATTGTAGTCCATTTTCGGTATAGCACCGGACGAAATACTCGCAAACGGTTCAAAAGAGCCTACATCCTGTTGCCAACTTCAGGGTTAACGAATAAACTTATTTTGAGGGCAATTCTCCTTCAGAATCTTACACTCTTCTGATTTTAGCTACAAGCCCTGTCACGTCTGATCATCATCTCGGCGATTTTTCACATGGACAGCAAGTAGTGGCGCTCCGTTATCACACAGTTGACCAGTTACTACAACAAATTCAAACAAAGACTTTTGCGAAAGGAATATTTGCAGTTACTCTCTATCCTAGCCTTCCTACTGATGGCTGCTGATTAGACAAGTTCAGGGAGACTGCGGAGGTCCACTATTTCAAGTAAACCAAGAGGGGCGCCACATTCTTGTAGGAATTAATAGTGCCATCGACGAAACCTCTATTGAGCATCACCAAAGTATGACTGTCAAAAATACGAATGATCTATTTTTTTGGTTCTTGCAGATATGGTGAACTATTTCACTGACGTTCGTGCGAATTTGGATTGGATCTGCAAACACTCAGGTGCACTTTTCTCACACTTTTTCAAAAGTTCTGCTAATTCAGGTGTGTGCCCACTGGAAGAGGAGTCTGAACTCTCAGTCTAAACCAGCCAGCTAAGGAATCATCCATAAGCATTTGGGAGTTGATATATATTTTTTCTTATTTTCTGGCATTTATACATCTTTGGCGATCAAAGGGGCGCTTCATAAGCTACAGGTGTAAAGGTCTAAAGCTGGTGTATTTACATCGTATTTTATTGATCAACAGTTTATAGTTAGATAAATCCTGCACATCCTACACATCTATCTATAAGTTTCCAGTGTATATCCCCTCTCATGAAGTCATTGAATTATGGCGATGTCACGCAAATTTGCTGCAAGTAAACCTAGTTGAAATGCTAAGATTCTAATATGGCTTTTCAAAAAAGACCTTTTTTATGAATCATCAAGTGCGAAATTGCGATAACTCATGGCTGAGCCTCAGTTCTCTTGCTGACGACCCACGTAGAAATGCTCGTCCAATCATTGCTCATGAAAATTCAAACGGCAAAACGAACAAACATCAGAAAAACAGCTAGAGTTCATTTGTAACATTGATGATACCGAATCATTCGATCTGCCAACACCGATGCATAACGTTGTGAAATGAAGATTTTCCAAGAAAAAACTCCGATTAGGCTTTGCGGAAAGTTGAGCGTTGTATGTACACTGTGGCCGTGCCATGCTCTCATATAAGCACCATTTATGTTTTCTAACAGTGGCATGTGAACTAAGATCAGAGCTTCTTGTGAAATCAACCTTACTTTTCATTTAGGAGAAGCTCATAATTCGGCAAGTTATCAACAAGGGAAACATGATTTTTTATTAGTCAAAATTGATTAGCATTAGCATACATGCATCAAAGAAATCTCTCTCAGTCTGAGAACAAAATTCCTTATGGGAAATTATGTGGTGAGGTCCCAAGGGGTGTGCAAACGCTGTTTTTTTTTCCAAAAATTGATTGTGAGAAGAAAGTTATGCGTAAATTTGTCCAACAAAGTTACTTACATCGGATTTTTTTTGTGATTTCTTGGAGGAGATTGTTAGAGTCATTGCTGTAGAACAAAGAAAAACATGAAGTGTTAGCCGCAGAAGTCTGTATACTAAGTAATCAGATTTTATACGAGTTTTGTAAACGTTACACTTGGAAGAAAATTTAGTGTATGGAGTAAAGAGTGGCAAAATATTCTAAATGGGGAGGCACTTGAACGTGAAACAAAATTCAAGTTACCGTCATCCCGTTTTCGTTCTCGTTACTCTTATTTACACAAAGGAAACACGAATGAAAATAATAATAAATCGAATAATATTCCCGCTTAGTTAAAGAACAAAATTCGGCAAGATAATTTATATCAACTCGAGATTGACTTTAGGGTGATTACCGTCATTTCAAATTCGAGTGCAAACATCCGGACCACATTACTGCGAGAATGTGTGCCAGACTGCGAATTCCTGTTTCAGCCTACCTGTATATGCAGACTGTGCTCGATTACGCGGTAAACTGACATTAGTCAAACTGTTTAAAATCTTCGCGGTGCATCCTCATTGACGCAAACGCTGCATTCCACGATTTTCAAATACGTCAGCTTCTGTGCTCTGGGTAGCAGGGAGACGGCCCGGCTCTTCTGCACCTCTCGCAATGGCAGCGTAGTTAGTGCACGCCTGTGATTAGTCGATGAGGCGGCAGTGATTGGACAAGGATGGAAAATACTAGGAAAGTATTTTCAATTTACATTAACTCGTCATCCCAAAAACTTGACGGTATTAATAATCAATCTACGTTAATTAAAAGTTGATTGGAAGCTTCAATTTCTTACGAGTGCTTCATGTGGTGAAATCCATGAAAACGTGCTTAAAAATCTGGATTTAAAGTAATTCTGATTAGTAGCTCCCATTTTACGAAGATACGCCTCAGCGCCTAAGATTTGTGCATATACCGAAACGAAGAGCTCGTCCATTTCGATGCAGAACGCAAGTTGGCGTGCGTATCGTTTACTCTGGGGCAGAATAACTAGCTGTAGGATGGAGCGGTGCAGAGGGGCATACACCCCCGAGGTAATAACGAGGATTTTTCAAACACACAATTTCTGGAATTTTTTCATGTAAGTTAAAGCCGGAAATTTCACATTGCTCCCGCTTGGCGATTTTTCAAGAACTCTTGTAAGCATACCTTCGATAGTCTAGAGACAGGGCGCCAAAAGTGAAGGTTGTTTGAACATCTGACGTCACAAATGGTGAAGGTTGTTCAAAGAAGATCAGAGAAGAGAATATGACGTAAAACAGACATAAAAAGCAAAAGAAACGGCTGTAAACCGGATAAAAACGCCGCAATAAGATTTGAAATCTTTCATTTGGCGGCTTTACAGAGTGCAAGTTTTCGCTCCAGGACCAGCAATTCGCAACACGGGGTTTTGATTTTTGATGCGTCCTTTAAATTTTTACCCCCGCGCCGTCCCTCTTGTACCCTGCGACGTTGTCTGGATTCTTCCGCTCATCATTCTGAGCAAGTATCGTCCAAGCTGGAGAAAATTCGTTGCGAAACTACTGAAAAAGAATAAGGTAAAGAAAAACGCATTTTTTAGTAACTTTCACAAAAAAAACGGCATAAGCAAAGAAATAAGCTCGGCGACGTTGTCTACATTATAGACAGAAACAAGACCTATCGACTACACAAAAAAACTGCGTGAAAAGAGTCAAACTAGGAGAAAAACGAGAGATTTTCAAAAACAAGGTTTTTGCCGGATTTCTTGCTTAAATCATAAAAAGGAGTCCTGCGACGTTGTCAGCGTGAAAATAGAGATCAAGAGCTTCAAAATGATATATAGCTTGCTAAAATTGGGTTCGAAACAGCGAAGAAAAGGGTACCAGAGCCAAATGCCCCGCGCCCCGCGCTCGGGGTAGCGAGATAGCGCGCAGCGCGCGGAGACGAAGACGAGCAGCGGAGAGAGACCAGAGCCGGCGAGGCATTTGGCTCTGGTCATTGATCTCCGCGGGGTCATAACGAAACCCTATAATATTATATATCGTTGTGATCCTCATGACACGGCCAGGAGCATTGACAACGTCGCGGGTCTTGAATCTCACTCCATAACGAGATAGACCAGCATTTATGTGGCGACTCTCTGCGCAAGACTTCAGCGCAGTTTCTCGTTTTTGTTGAACTCCAGCGGCTTTCATGAACCTCCAACGCTCAATCGCAGTCTATAGAAAGGTTAACTGATAAGTTTTATGCTAATTTCTAACTGAATTTTTGAAGAAAAACCCTCTTTTCAGCAAAAAAGGCCATGAAAACGCAATCTTTCGGTTTTTTGAGCTTTTCTTTGGATGTCACTACTATATTTGCCTCATTCACATTCATCCTTACATAGTTAGTCATTAGTTATGTCATAATATCCGGGGCTTCGCCCCGGATGACTTGTACTCCTCTCCAGGTGAAGGTTGTGTCCTCTCATGACACTCAAAGTGAAGGTTACCAGAGTACGTGGCTCTACGTATCGAAGGTATGCTTGTAAGAAGAAAAGTGCGTCTTTTATTTGAAAAAAAAGGTTCACTTAGAACATCTGACAGCATTAGTCGTGGACTTTTCATTACCCGAATGATTCCCTTTATTGCAAGGCTTTAGGAAAAATCAGAACCCTAGGGGACAGATAGATGGAAGGGAAAAATAAAATCGCTCTAACTCCACTTTGAGGTAGGAACCCAAAACTCTTAAACATTGTAACAAATTTAGACTATCAAGAAAATCTCGTTTGTTATTGAAGAAATCCGTAGAAAACAACGAAATTAAATTTTTTTGTACTTAAGAACTACAACGCTAAGTTCTCCTTTTAAAAGTGATTTTCGGACACTAAAACGAAACAATGTATGAATTCTGTGCTATAACTCCCACAAACAATTTGAAGGCACTGCATCGCATTTTTATCCTGTACGGATTGTCGCAACCGAGTTTTGCCAATAATGTGCATACACTTGTGCCCTTTTCCACTTGCTGAGCTCGAATGCGTCCTGCTAAACTCTTCCTTATGCGAAGTTCAAGTCTTTAATTGCAAGCATCTCATTGTACAGTACCAACACCGCCGCCTTGAAATCCTGCGATATAAACGCGAACAGCGAACAGCATTCAATGAACATTATTTATATGAATCGATAGCCAAAACCTCGTAGATTCCACAGAAATGTTCTAAGCCTGATTCGTCTTAGCTCTGAGCAATATTTGATGAAAGCTCAGTCATTGAAAGCGAAAGATGGAAAAAATGAGATTTTGGTTGGCTTCTAATTCTACAGTTTGGAGGTCTTTTGAAGCGGGATTTCTGGGATGGACAAAGAAGGAGAGTGCTTTGTCTTGAGTGCAAAAGCGGATAGCTAGTTCACCTTTGAAACAAAGTCAATCATGTTGGAATATGACTCACTTAGGTAGCCTAGTATCTCGAATCTTGCTCAAACTTTATCTAAACGGGTTGATTGACATGCTCATTATGGATATGATACGAATATCATGTTATCATCATTATCGGATTACCCAACTAATTCCCTCCCCATTTGACTCCTCAATACGACCTCCCAGGTGTGGCATGCCACACCCCACGCTTGACCCTGGTTTGGATTCAAGCAAGCATCACGTTGCACCAGGACTCATTTCCACGAACATTTCTAAAATCCCAATTGCGTCAAAATCAACATCATGGGATTAAGTACAGTAACTTTTAGCAGCAGCATTTATTCAAGCGAAGATTGAAGCCAAAAACCGAGAAGATTCAAGCGCCCCAAAAAACTAAGAAAAAATTGGAAGTCCGTTCAGGAAAATCCTTCAAAGTTCCTAACTTGCTCATGCATTGTCATTTCGTATAAAACATTTCTCTATACAGTTGCTGTATTTTTCACACTATGTACTTACAAAGAAAAAGAAGATTAGATAAGGCATGCACTTTCGCTTCGCCTCTTTACTTCTCGTGACCCTATTTTACTCTTTCAGCCGAAATGATCTCCAATAAAAAACGATTTGAAGATATTGTGATGAAGGCAGCCTGTAATGAAGGTCCGCAACTTTAGTTCCATTTCTTTCCAGTAATAACCAAGCATCGTTCAGAACTTCAGCCAGACGTGAATACTCTCAAGCAAGGAGAGGATTACTGCGCCTTTGATGGCACAACTATTAGCGAAAGTTGATTCTGATTGCGCACGGTTTTCATTGATATTTTTGAGCCCCTTCTCAGGCTTTACACCAAAGCCAACTACCGGCCAAATACAAGTCTGAATTTTGGAGTAAATGGATTTACACAACTGCCCTGGTCTACTCAGACAATTGGAAACTCTCAGCGGGCAGCCACAAAGCCGCCACCAATCCCCACCAAAAGCCCCCGCGCCTTATCGCTGCCACTGTGGATGCCCGCTGAATGCCATGTGGCTTCCACATCACTGCCGCTTCATAGCGGCCCGCTGATGCCAGTCAAAGCAGCCCGCTCAATGCCATTTAAAGGATCCCGCCCACTGCCGCTTATAATAGCCCGCTCAATGCCATTTAAAGTAGCCCGCCCACTGCCGCTTATATTAGCCCGCTTAGTGCCGCTTACCGCACTCTCTCCTTTTCGGGATCCACTACTCCTTCTGTACTTGCACTATAAACAAGCTGGACATCATCTTTTATTAATCAATTGCCCGAAAGAATGCGATACTTCCAGTAATTTAGTATAATACAATAAGGCACATAACAATAACTCAACGAGGAACAGACACAGAGAAAAGAAATCAACTCAAAAGATCATCTAGAGTGTCTTAATACACGTACACGTAACGATATCTCAAAGCGAACAAGATAAAGATGAACGAAATGAGCTCACATTGAATGTCAACCTATACTGCAACATAACAGATAATAGCAAATCAACAGAGAACACGATGCAGATAAACCAGATAAAGTCAAAATGCAAGATCAAGGCATTGAGGAGAAATGAAGATGTCCATGCGGGAAGAGGTTTGAAGTGTTCTGCTCCAAACAAAATAGTCAGGACTAACCATTTGACGGTTTTTTAATGCATACCTTAATCGATTCGACAGCTTACTCAAGCGACAATGCGAGGTATGCCTGGTTTTGGTTCTGCATTTCTCTGAGTTCCATCACTGGGTTAGTTTCTGGTGCTGTTCTTCTTCTTTTCTGGAAATAAACTGAGTCGCTTTTTGCAGGATTATAAGAGATCAAGAATTTTTCGACAACTACTCACCGCGTGTGGCAGCCACTTTTTTTCCATTCATAAGATCTTATATCCCTCCTGCATAATATTTACTGATTTTTACTTCAACCAAAGTTTAGACTGCGTATCGCCTAAGCCGATCAAATCCAAAACAAAATCTGAAGTCAGAGTCAGTGCAGTGCTAATGTCTGCACAGTACTTGGTATAACATCTATCCAAGAGTGTCACTTCCATGCCGCCGGTAAATTTTGCAGGTTGAGCTCTCTGCCAGCCTTGCAATGACGTTATGGCGTATTCTTGGAATCGCTGAGGAGGCTTCGTCAGCTGCAAGTCGTTTAAGATTAGACGTATTGCGCATGCAGAGTGACGTAATCCTGCTGGAAGATAAAGCGAAGGGGCTTGCGAAGTGTTGATAGCACGGTTCCGTAATTTTGAAGTTGTAGTGCGCCGCAATCTAGAATTTTCACTTAAAAGTCTCACCTGCAGAGTAATATTATATCAGTCAGTGACAATTACGCTTCTGAATGGTTGTGCTTCGTCTATCTTCCCAGTCCCGGTCAGATGTTTAGAGACATAAAACGTGCTTACCGATTCGTTATTCTTGCATTGTATGACTGCGATTCAAATGCATGTGCGCTAATCGTATTTCGCAATTCATGGCGGGAATCAGATATACCACAACAACAATCTCATTAACACGTTGACGACCGTGTGCATCCGCGCGTATGCACGCCCTGACCACCTTTGAGCAGTTTCGTGCATCAATGATCGCTGAGAGTTTCCAAATGTCTGAGTAGGGACAATGTCGTCAAGAACCAGAAGTGGTGAGTTAGTCAAAAGCCCCCCCCCCTTCCGCTTTCGATGAAAAGTATTGCGAGTTACGTTTTTTTTTAAAAATAACGCGATCTTGCCAGATAGCCTCCAAACAACTTTATTGATTTTGATGCAGACATTTGAAGCTAAGGGCCAAATCGGCCACGTCTTAGATTGGATGGACACCGATAAAGATTTGGCTATCCCATCCAAAGCTGGACCTCTCCACACACTTGACTGAGTAGCATAAATCTTTTTATGTACGAACATAAATTTTTCAACCTTACATGCTCTAATTTGCGAGGCCAAAAAAGCGGAAAAGGCATCATTATGGTCCTTCCAGCCTACTTTTGTGCCTCGAATTCTAGCTACAAAAAACACACAGCTACTGTCATAATTATCTGATCCAGACAGTTCATGTGTGAGCAAAGGAAATTGGTGGGTTTTCTAAGGCGCAGCCAGACTTTTGGCTTAATTGCATGTCCTTTGATTCGACTGGCTTGGCCCCTAGAAGGCGGGACTTTGTAACCCAATTAAGGCCGCTCGCACCCGCGAGGCAGTCTGCGTCTCTGTCGCTCGCGTTATCTAGCCTTATTAGGTCACGAAGCCCCGCCTTCCGGGCGCCAAGCCAGTTGAATCAAGGGGTACTCAGCTACACATAATGCAAATTTGCTCTTGTAGGCTTTGCTCTTTCATACCCAAGCCATTTTGCAAAATATCAAAATTAGAACCTTCTTAAAAAACCGGGTCAAAATTTTAGAACAACTCAGTGCATTCTGCTCTTTAAATCGTTCTGAGCTTATACGTCATGTTATACAAAGCCCATATATTTTCGAAGCGCTTGCAAAGCGTCATTCTTGATTGGTAGTTTTCACAAAGTATTTAGCCTCTGCCTCTGCTGCTAGCCGATCAAACCGGATCCGTTACGCTTGATCAAGAGCAGTGTGCCTGTCGGCAAATGGATTCTTTTGCGCGTTTCAGGAAGAAGCGAGTACCTTCAACATGATCAATTTTCCCACGTGAGTTATTGATCTTTACAATATTGGCTGGATTGGCCTTTTTTCAGGATTTTGCAATTTGCTAATCATCTATCTCATGTGAGGCTGCAGTTTTTGCTACATTACTTTTCGCTAGCGCTGGAAAAGATGCCAACTGGCTGCGTTTCATTTTGTCGCGCAGTTTTGAGAAAAGACGCGATCCCGATTTGGGAAGAGGAGAAATCTTAGGTAGCCAAGCGGGATCGAATGGGATTACCATCTTTATCAGCGCTTCACTAGCTTATATTTTTAGCTCCATTCTCTTGTGGTAGTGTCAGAGATACCGATTGAAGACGTAGTTGCATGTGCACAAGTAGATTTTGCTGATGAACTGATTGGAGGCCTCATCCTTTGCACTCCCATAGACCAGGTAAGAACCATACTACCCATCACTTCTCTGCTTATTTTATTTTGAAGGAGGAAATTCGCTTTCTAATATGTCCAGAGCGATCGTGTCCTGCCTTTTGTGCGAAAAGATGGGTCCTCTTGAAGCAGTTCACATCGTCGGAGCACAACGTTACAGCGGCTACGATGGATACAGTAAGCTATTCTAAAATCACGAAATTGAAGGTATAACTAAAGAATTACTTTGTTGTATTAACTGCTGTTCCAGGTTCCACTGTTGAATGGAAGCCTTATGGCAGCTACGACTGTGAAGAACGAGATAATTTCACGTTGGTATACTGCAGAATGTCTACCTTCATACGCTGTCGAAATAAGTGCCCTCCCCCCCCTCCACAAAACATGCATCTCTGTACGTTAAAGCCCGTGCCAGTTATTCGCGCAGACGAAGCCTTGGACGACCTAATCTCCTCCACCCCAGGCACAGTCATGTAATTGCAGTAAGTAGCAGGACAAACAGCTTTCCCAAAATTTCACGTTAGTAGAATTTCTTTGAAATCTTCTTTTTACATTTCTGCTGTCGAAAAATTCCCCCACAGACAACACTCGTAGATAGCAGTATTTGAATATATAAGCTAGAGAGACAATTTCTCACTACAGCAGTACACCAGCGTTATTTTCTGAAGAATATAATCAATACTAAATTCTTAACCTGCTGTTCATTCATCAGTTATGATTTCTTCATTATGATTTTGGGAATTTTGTGTGTAGGATGGAAATATTTATTTGCATTTAGCAGAAAGCTATAGCCTCTGGAAATTCTTCCGGAATGTAATATCGTTTAGATTTGGCTTGAAGCGAAAGAATTTTTCAAAATAAAGCAAACACTCACTCATAGCACAATCATTGTCAAAATAATCTGTAATTGTCATAAGCTTTGCTATCTCTTTACAGGCGAGTGCTATCGGACGTAATCGCTATAGATGCTCTTCCCTTCAGCGATAGTTCGCATCAATATGAGAAAATATCGACAGAGAGCTAAACAAAGTATTAAAAATGCGTATCGTATGGGTCTGAATGATTTTTGCCCTTTTAGGCGAATGCCGGTTTCATATCAGAGAAAAACGATATACGACCGATAGCAACTGGAGGTTAGGTATGTGGTGTGTTCAGAGGAGATAAAGAACAGAAAGTTAGTTGTATCAGGAGTTTTTGTCAACGTACACAGTATATAGGACGTTTTCAAGGTTTGATTCAAATCATAGCAGCAGCAAAAACAGGACGAGATATGATCTACTGCACATTCCATAATTCCATAATGAGCAATTTAAAGATTCTTTGCTCAGTATGTATGATGTGCTGCTCAAAAAAACACTACAATTGGTAAGGATGCAGTTTCCACTAGACTGACTAGAATTTTCAAAAAAAACTTCCACGCGCTCTTTACAAGGACTTAATCTCGTATGCACAAAGTCTAAAGCAGCAAAAAGAGTTGTCTGTCTTTAGGCATATCTCCTTCGAATTTCAAGCACAGTAGCGAAGTGGCACAAACCAAAACATAGCTTAAACAAGCTCAATAAATATTTGCTCGAGTATGTGCTGCACGCAATCGGTTGGAAATGACTTTCAAACGCAACCAACGGGTAACAACACTGTGAAAGCTAGTTCCATACCGAACACGGTCGTCGGCATCTACAAAACCATTCAAAAACATTCCGACAGTCTCATAAACAATTTCAAAGTCAACTCTTGCCCTGGTGTTTGTTGCTGACCTCTGGGTGTTATT